ACACACACAGAAATACGGTTACCTCCTGCAATCGGAGAAATGATAGTTCGGAAGAAAAATGTTTCTCGTTGGAATCAATTATTGATTGAAATTCATCTAAGCCACCCTCTTCGAACGCAAACAAATTCAACAGTGCAAGAATTACCAACAAACACGCCTTCACCCAGCAATCCAGCCCTCGTGCAAAGCTTAAAGACATCAACCCCACAAAATGCAAAAACATCATTTTTGACTGCAAATGTCTCGTAGATTGGCTTGCCATCATATCCATTAAACCTTGCTGCATCGGTGAATTCATGTTTAAATCACCAAAACAGGCAATGGTGTCCAAAACAAAATCATACTCTTTGCATGAAGCAAAATCTCTCAAAGTTCTCGGTCCACATGAATTATTGCTGTTATGCTGAAGACACGAAATAGCTTGTAACAAAGATATCCCCATTAATTTCAATATAGAAGCAAGAAGATACAAATGTTGCATAGTTGTACCCTCGATCGGTTGTACTTCTCTATAATCACAGCTCTCAGAAGCTTTAAGAACCAAACAGGTTAAAATGGATAAAATCTCATCCTGGGACGGTATGGCGTATACATTCAGACACTCCTTCACGAATTTCAGGGAGGAACTCACCAGGTCAGATTTCATTCCAAAAGAAAGATCGTCCGAGTTCACGTTTAGTGTATTGTCTAACTTTGTGATCAGGGCATCAATCTTTTTTTTCGTCTCTGGCAATATGTAAAATTCAAATGGCCGATAGTCAACGCCATACGAAAAACTTGGTTTCAAGCCCCTGGGAAAACTAGGGCAGCCATTTTTTTCCAAACAAGATATGTGCGTCAGGTACAAATCGATCGACTTTTCAAAGATCGAGAGGAAACAGTTTGTGACAATACGATCTGGTCTTGAACTCTTTGTATAAATAGCATTGGAAACCAGTGACATCAAATGAGCCTGCATATATTTTGGCATAGAGAGCATAATAGGACTGAGAATTAACAATGAAGATGCAGTAAGGCTTAATGCTGGATTCTGGAAAGGATTTTTGTGTTCCGTTGAATGTGTAGAGAACAATCGAACAAGACAATCTTGAGAAGCCTGCTTATCGGAAAATGAGAGGATAAAATGATTGCATAGCACTGCAATCACAATCCATAAATCATCTTGGCCCGAGTGGCGACTGAATAGTGTTTCATTGGTAGAAGCAAAAGAATTAATTATTTGAAAGTGCCCTCTTAATTGCTTATGCGTCAATAGCTCATCTACAAACACCTGCCGATGAAAACGTTTCATTTACTTGTCAACTACTGAAGCAGTTCGATCAATAATGAACTACAAGAATAGGAATAACGAAATATCATACATGTGTAAACTATTAAAACACATAAAAATTGATCAAGAAGCCCATTATCCAGTTTCC